AATACTGGAGACTCAAGCATTTACGATGTTTGTTTGCCTGTAAGGAGCAGATGATGGCCTTTTATATGATAGCTGGCTGTTATTTCTGGTTCAAAGCATAATAGCAGACAAGGGACTAGTTGCATATTGGTATGATGAATTTCTCTCCGCATGAACATCTCCAGCATCTTTCTTATCCTCATTCGACCCAGTGGTCATAATATGTCTTGCAGTGCTGCTGGGAGGAAGACATTTCTTTCATTTCACAGGTGGGAAAAGAGAGACAGAAGAATGAAGTGGCTTTTCTGGAGTAACTGTGGAATTCTATAGGGATTCTGGGGATAGGATCCTGACATTCCCCCCTCTTCTCCAAATTAATTCCCAGAGTGGATTCACACTTTTCCTGTAGGTGTTCTGCAGGCCTCAGGTAGGCATGGTGTGAGCTCAGGCATCTGTTCAGTGATTACTGTCCTCTTATTCTTAGAGTTGACCTTGTGGTTCACTCCTTGAAGGACCTGCCGACTTCTCTTCCTCCTGGCTTTACTATTGGTGCTGTCTGCAAGTAAGTGTGGATGAGAGGCTCGATTCTTTGGGAGACATGCATTTTACAGCATCAGTAGTAGCAGCAAAACAAGGGTGGCGTAGATCTTTTTAGGTGCTCGGAGTTTGACCGTCCTCTGATTAATTTCTGAAACAGTGGAAACACTAGAGTTGATCTCATGTTCTGTAGCTGGCAGGTTTGCTGGAAATTCTTGCTTTTGTTCTGATGATATATGGGTTATTTTGGAGCCAGAGGCAGTTCATCTGCGGCCTGATAGAGAACTGTTAAGCTTAACAGCCTTCTGTTAAATGATGTCAGCCATTCTGTATTTGTATTCTGTTGCAGAAGGGAAAACCCACTTGATGCCGTGGTCTTTCATCCCAAAAACTGTGGGAAAACACTGAGCCTCCTTCCTGAAAAGAGGTGAGTGGAGAGAGGAAGGGGAACACAGGTGCAGTTGGTGATGGTGGCTGGCGGCTGCCCTCCAGAAGTGTCTCCTGTAAATCAGTTGCTTGGGATTGGCTTGCCTGCATCTAGCTTCGCCCAGGCTTTATGCTAAACCTCACGGAGTGGTTTTCTTTTTTCTAAGGAGATAAAAATGATTGGCAGGTTCTTGGATCTTCATTTTAATTAAGAAAAACAAAATCACTCTTTGTTGGCTGGAAAGTTCAGAGTTCTTTCAGGTGGAGGCGAGTGTGAGGTGAGGTGAGTGTAGGAGTATTCCAGATTTCACGTGTTTTATTTTCCCCACAGTGTGATTGGAACCAGTTCACTTCGCAGAGCAGCTCAGCTCAAAAAGAAGTTCCCTCAGTTAGAATTCAGGGATATTGTATCCTTTCCTGGCAAAAAGAAACGGGGGGGGGGGGCTGGGTAAAGCTGCAAATGTGAATCTAGAACGTCATACGAAATCTAGATTGAAGGCTGATTTATGCCACCTTAGCAACAAGAGCAAACTGCTTCCTCATAGGCAGCCCTCCCCTAACCTACTTGGCGATGGATGTATAGTGCACTGTTGCCATTCTGCCTTTTGCTTTTTCATGAGCCTGTAAAGAAGGCGCCAGCCTTCATCTAAGAAAAAGAATTGTCTGTATGTAATGCTTCTCCTAGGATGGTGCTCTGATTCTCATTTGGAGGCTGTCAGATTCTGTACATTCTGTAAACACATTCTGGCGTATGTTATATAGGGATAGGAGCAGTTGGCCTGCTGTTTCTATGCTTGCTTAATCACTTCTACAGAGAGGGAATTTAAATACCCGCTTAAAGAAGCTAGATGAGAAGGAAGACTTCAGTGCCATCATCCTGGCTGCTGCTGGACTGAAGAGAATGGGCTGGGAGAATCGCATTGGTCAGGTGAGGAGCAGCAAAGCAGAAGATACCATTCTGTGCTGAACCATCACCTGTTTTATTCTCAGACCTTACGGTCATCCCGTCAAAGCTGAGCATGTCTGCTGGTCTGCTCAATCCACTGAAACCAGACACAAGTTAACTTGGATTTTGCTTTCTTCCAGCTCCTAAACCCTGAAGATTGTCTCTATGCTGTTGGACAGGTACGTTAAGACTCTTTTATCTTAAGCCATACCTGGTATCAAAAGCCAGTGGTGGTACAGTGCGTTTCCAGTTTAGGAAGGAATTGTTTTGTTATTGTTACTCATTCAGCACTTAATCGTTATCTTGAGAAAATGTTGGGAAGCCTGGATTTATCCAGGTTTCTTGTCACAAGGGACATTGGGGTGGGTGTTTCTATATATATACCCTAACTGAGAGAGGTTTTAGAGTGGCTTGAGATGACAGCATGATCTTGAACACTTTGGCCAAAGGAAGTTCTGGTCTTCCTTTTAGAGCAGCTGCTATAGGATGTCCCTGCAACCAGTGGATTTTTTTGTCATTTATTTCTATAAATGGCTAAATATCGCTCCCTTAGCAAAATGCATCCAGGCCTCTGAGTCTGTTTTGTGACCAATGCTGAGTGCACAGAGAGGTGTGAAGTTGAGGAATTACTATGATTTCATGTTTCATGTTTCTTCTCGTAGGGTGCCTTAGCAGTAGAAGTTCGTGCCAAAGACCAGGAGATCCTGGATATGGTGTCTGTCCTGCATGATGCAGACACTGTGCTATGCTGCATTGCTGAGAGAGCCTTTATGAAACGTTTGGTAGGTGGGGCATCTTGGCTCTTCTGCCTATGGCAGTAAATACTGCTCTGCTAGTTGACATCGTGGGAAATCTTTTCTAAAGCTGCAAAGTGGAGAGTGCTTCTGAACTGAGAAGTGCCTGTAGAACGATGGGCAGGGGTTTGTGCAGCCTAAACTTTTCAGAGGCCTGTACTTTGAACCTATTAGGTAGGAGCCTCAGTGTCAGCTGCTTTCTGTTTTAGGAGGGTGGATGCAGTGTCCCTGTCGCCGTCAGCACCATGTTGAAAGATGGCCAGGTGAGGAGTACTTTGTATTTATCTGGGATTATTTCTGAAAACCTATTCCAGTGCATGCATGTTCCCTGGTCCTACCTTGAGGATAACTCTGGCAGATATCTTTATAGCTGCCCTTTATAGCAGAGAGGCTCCTGACTCAAGCCTTCTGGGTTTGTGTCCAAAGCAGGAGTATGAGAATGGCCCTGGTTATGGAAGCTTGGTCTTCTAGAAAATGACCTTACTAGAAGTACCAGATTCCCCCTGCCCTCTTTAAAGGTTACATTGCCCTAAGATTTGAAAGCCTTGCTCCTGACTCCAGAAAAATCAGCGTTTTATACGATGGGAGTGTGATTAAGGAGGTGGGCAACTAGAGAACTGTTCAGCCTTTTCCTTGGGAAGTTGCATCTTGCCTAACAGGGATCACTTTTCTTACAGTTGTGTTGTTAGGCTATTCTTCCTGGCCCCACTGCACTACAGAAACCTTCTCCTCTGGGCTGAGCTTTGAATGTTGTGCATTTTTTTTTTTTTTTTTAGGGGGGTGGTTGTTTTTCTGTTTATTAACGCTATATTAATCCCTTCCGCGTGTCTTTCCAAGCTGTATTTGACAGGGGCAGTCTACAGTTTGGATGGATCTGATAGCCTGAAGGAGACTATGCAGACCAGTGTTAATTATCCCCAACAGGTAGGTGAACCACGGTGATGGCTTCAAACCCAAACCTCATGACCCAAAGCTGAAGCCACGTGACAAAGCGAGACCTTTTGAAATCTGCCTGTCATGTTGGGTCTGGTTCTTTGGAAACTCTTGACAGTGCACTGCTCTCGTGTTTCACATGTGGCTTGAACTATTCATTGCCCACTCCTTCCTGCTGCCTTACAGAGGTAATGTGTATTTGCAGAATGAAGATGGACCAAATGACGACGTGCAGCATGTTGGTATCACAGCCAAGAACGTCCCTGGTCAGGCCCAGGAAGCTGCAGAGAACCTTGGTGTTGAACTAGCTAGTTTACTTCTTAGCAAGGGAGCAAAGCATATCCTTAGTGTGGCAAGGCAGCTCAACGATGCCTGCTAAACCTGTGGTGTGGTCTGCACAATTGCCACAACTCTGGCAATTCTTGGCAGCTATGCTGTCCTCCTTTGGAGGAAGGGATTTCTTCAAATGCTCACACTGTTTTTGTCTGACACGTGGGCACAAGAGCTTGAAATACCAGGTTAACTAACTCAAGTTGTTTATGCTGTTCAGGGTTTCTGGCCCTCTCTGCATTTCTCTAAATTGCAAAGTGTCCATTTGATTTTTTTTTTTTTTTTAAGGATATTTGTAGCTAGGAAGGTTAAAAAGAAAGAAAAAAAGGATTAAAAATAAGCTGTAAGTGTTCTCCTATTGCCATGACGAACAAGGGATTTGTTACAGATTAGTCAGTTGTGATGGCACTTGAGTGCCATACTGTGTCAAACAGTACTGAAGTACTTTCAGTAGTCATTAAATGTTTTTTGGTCCTGTCCACTCATCAGTGTTGCAGAGGAAGACTGCTGTTTAGCAGGTTCCTCAGTAAAGTAGCATAGGTCTGGCTTAAGGCAGGAAATTAAGTTTGCAGCTATCAGGTGCAAATTTGTCAGTCAGCCAGTAATTAATTGGGAAGTGAGTGGACACCCAGTCGTGTGTCCCTTACTCACTAGACTACAAGGCTTGTCAGCATCATTCATATATGCTAATCATTTAATGGGGAGCAGGAGAGAAAGCCCAAATGTGCCTTTCTTTGCTAGTGCCAGTCCCTTCCTATGACTGTGGGTTCTTGCACTCTCTACCATGTAGCTATCTGCTCAGCAAGGCTCATGGTCCAGTGCCTTGTGGAAACACTGAAGTAGCACCTTATCGGGGTACCGTTTTGGAAATGAAGCATTGTTTATTCTCTGCAACGACCAGTAAACGTAACAGGTGATAAATACAGCAGAATGGTAAGCAGCATCCCGGTGTCAGTGTCTTTATGGAGCAGCTCCTCTGTTCACAGCTTCACGCACCGGGACCGCGGCAAGCGCAGCGTTCCTCAGCCCCGCACCGCCGGCCACGGGGCGGGGTGGGGCCAGCTCCGCCTCCAGTCCCGACGACGGGACCGCGACACGCCCCCTCCCCACGCGGATCGCAGCTCTCCTGGTGAGCAATAGGGTTGGCCCTGAAAAGGGCCTTTGTGTGGTGCCGAGGGCTCGGCCGGTCCTAATACTCCTGCGACTGCTGCCGGCTGCCCTTCTTGCCGGCCTTGGTGGGGCCCACGCTGCCGCCGCCGGTCTTCTTGGGCAGCAGCACGGCCTGGATGTTGGGCAGGACGCCGCCCTGCGCGATGGTGACGCCGCCCAGTAGCTTGTTGAGCTCTTCGTCGTTGCGCACCGCGAGCTGCAGGTGTCGCGGGATGATGCGCGTCTTCTTGTTGTCGCGCGCCGCGTTGCCCGCCAGCTCCAGGATCTCGGCTGTCAGGTACTCCAGCACGGCCGCCAGGTACACCGGCGCGCCGGCCCCCACCCGCTCCGCGTAGTGCCCGCGCCGCAGCAGCCGGTGAACACGCCCGACCGGGAACTGCAGTCCTGCCCGGGACGAGCGAGACTTGGCCTTAGCCCGGGCCTTACCGCCGCTCTTGCCACGGCCAGACATGGCGCCTCGCTCCTCTGCGCGCTCTGTCCCCAGCCCACCAGAGCTCTGCGGCGAAGTGAGGCGAGAGGTTCCGCACCCGGCCCTCTTATAACCTTCCCCAAAGTAGCACTCAGCTCATTGGATAGCGCCGCCGCGCCTCGCTATTGGTGCGTCTGCCGGAAGAAACTTTTCGCTGATTGGCCTCCTCTGCGAGCCACCGCGCTTGCCCCGAGTTTATTGGTGGTGGAGACAGGCCAATCAGACGGCAAGGCGCCAAATTCATACCTCGCTGAGGCAGTTGATAGGCACTGCCACACTCCCTCCCCCGTTCCCCTCAACCCGGTTGCTTCAGGGGCTCCCCTTTCGGGTGCTGAGGTGAATCATGGCGCCACGTACTGCCGTATGGGTAACGATTTGGGGGGGAGGAAAAGGCACTCACGGCGTGTGGGGCCTTAGCTCAATATGAAGAGTATTTACCAATGTCCCCTGCCATGCATGGCTGCAGCGATCCTCACTTTGCTATCCCGTTTTGGATGCGTCCTGATCTGTGAAGGAAGGCAGATGATAAAGATGTTCAGAAATAAAAGCCCTTTGGTGGGAAGATCCCTGCTAACTGGGAAAGAGGAGGGGGTCTACTGGAACCAGTCCCCTAGCAGGGTTTAAAGCCACAGCGATGTCTTGTGTAACCTAGCTTTGCTGTGTGACAATGTTCTTGAGGCAAATTACTGAAGGGGAAAGGGTAACACAAGCTGTTTTATTTCTGGAGATCTCCGAGCTCTGGGTATAGTTTATAACATCTCACTCTGTGTCCATGGACCGAAGACAGGATTGGTGAAGCCCGGAGACGATTCTGGCTTACTTGTTCTGCTGTAGGGAGTCTCGCAGAAATTGAAGCTCTCAATTTTCTCTCCAGGGGAACCCTAACGTGCTTGTTAGATGCATAGAGATTTCATCTTTCCCACATTTGGATCATTTACTTCTCCCCTAAAGGCATTCCCAGTAACAGTGATGTCCAAGTAGCAGGGAATCTTTTCTGTCAGTAGAATCTGACAAAAGCCTTCTGGGCACAATGAAAATAGAAAGACTATTATGGTTCAAGAGTGGCCCCTGCAGAGTAGTTGCACGTTGGCAAGTGTCCTGAGGTTGTTGGAGGGCCAGAGGAAGATGAGTTGCATCATTTGGTCAGCAACTGGAGAAAATCGACTGGCGGGTACAAGTCTTTCCTCTGTTCCTGGCAGCCCAGTCAGACATCATAAAACAAACGCACTAGCTGGTACCGGATTGAGAATGCAATGGTGCTGCCCAGGACCTAGGTAAAAATCAGCCAGAGAACAGAAACATGTAGCATTAAGTAAGGTACATGCTGGCAGTTCCTCATTTCCCCTTGGATTTGCTACACTTTGTGCCTTGTATAGAACCAGCAAAGGGTAGAAGTGTAGCCAAAATCCTCAGCTCTTTCTCTGAGAATGGTAACCATCTGCGGGGGATCTCCACGCGTGTCTGCACACAGTAACATCGTGAGAACACGTGGACTAGAGGAATGGTTGCGAACAACCCTTTCCTTGTTAAGGAGCACGTTATAATGTAAACTCTATAGTTTGTGATGGAAAATGCATCATGTCAAAGCTGCAATTCAGCATCCTTACAAGAAAGCTCTGCAAAGAATTCTCTGCTGTGGCTGGCCTCCAGAGCAAGTAGTAGGTACTTTCTATCCTTTCTCATCCCTGATATAGTCTGCCTAAGGCCTGTTTGGTCTCCAGGTTTGTTTGCTGGAAATCCTCCCTCCTGAATGGGAATTTGGCCAAGTAAGTGTCTCTTTCCCAAGAAGAATCTCTGATCTGAGGATGAAAAAAGGAGTTTTACTGTGGGCACCTAGGAAACGCAGCCCTTTCCACAAGTAGTATTTCTTCTGTTTTGTGCATGAGAGTTCACATACCAGAGGTAGTGGCAGTTATCTGTGAGGCAACTTATCCTCATGCTCTAAAGTGCTTCCAAACACTTCTGCAACCTGCTCAGATTTTGGGTACCACTGAGCTGTGTGCCATGCTTACCAAGTCCACCAGCCGGAGACAACTCCAGGACTGCATTGTTTGGTCTGGCTGACAAACAGGAATGTGGGAAAAGGCTGGATCTGGTCACAGTGACAAAGCACTCTGCTGTCCTAATGTTTTTGTAGCATCCAGCGATTCATGGCTTGGGAACCTTCTCAAGCTAACCTCGTGATTTGTATTTATTAGCTCTCAATGAACATGGAGGGGTGATGGGTAGAGGCAGGGGGAGGAATGTGTTTCCTCCTTGAGCAGCATAAACCTCCTGATTCTCCTCAAGTTCCACAACTCAACTGCATCTTGTGTGAAAAGCATGATACTTTACTTCCCCTTTTCCCCTTGAAATGCTTGAGACTCATTTGGATCTGTTTCTATTGCAGAGTACATCTTTTTACTGGAGGAAACATTGGTCTGACCTGAATGAGCAGCAACAGGAGAGTGAGACTTCGCTCGTGGGTGGGTCCAATCAGCTTTATAACAAAGTTAATAAGGGTCATATTATTGCACTCGGTATATTCGCCATCTTCATCTGTTCCACTCCTCACGTCTACCATATGCAAGATCTTGACGGCCTGGAGAAAGAAATATTACACGTTATTTTACCAGTGCTCACTGGACAGTTTTGTTCGAGATTCCTTTTCCTATACAATCCCCAAAGAGCCTGCACTCTTACTAAAAAGGCAGATGACAGGCATATGATGATTCTGGGACACTTCTATGTGTGATGATTCTGAACACAATCGAGTGCACATGAGGGATGGTGATGGACCAAGTGGAGTATTTTCTTCTGGATTTGAGCCAGGAAATAACTAGCAAACACAGAAGTTCTGTTTTCCCTCCTATCCTGTTCCTCTCACTTTTGATCACTGCCTCAAAATGGGCCTGACTTTTGAATGTTTTCTGGACTTTACCTTCAGAATGTTTATTCCCATGGCAGAGAGGCTCTTAGTTTTGAATTTGGTGTAGCTCATCTCCAACTTCCCTGTGCTAGGATTGAGCCTAAAAGAAATATAACAATTTTAGTCCGGATAGAGCGAGGAGAGAGAGATGGCCAGCTGAGTCACTGAGAGAGAAACCCAGTGGTGGAAAAAGCAGGACTAATCCCACACATGTAGCAACATGCTGATATGGAGTCCCTCAGACTGGACAAAGCAAGGAGGAGATTCCTCCCCACTGCACCCCTGTTATAGGCATAGAGCTGCATATATTTAAAGCTAAAGCATCTAACATCTGCAGAGACAACTGCCGATGCAGGACAGTGCCACAGAATGCTTGTTACTACAAAACTTTAGCAAATACTACCACAACAGTATTAAAAGCGACCTGTGTCAATCTCTCTTGATCTTGTTGCTGAGACTAATCATATTCTAACATTGTTAAAAATCAGTTCTGTATCTGGGGGTTGGGAGGGCTGCAGCAGTCAGAAAAGACAACTTCTTTGAGAAACCTCTACTGTGTGACCTGACCAAGACTGGCAGAGGGAGCTGGCTAACTTTTAGCTATAAAATGGCTTTTTTAGCTATAAAATGGCTTTGATGGCTTTTTCAAAGCACACATACCACCACCTTTCTCAGCTGGTGTTCATGATAAAAGGCACAATCTGTGGTACTCTTACAGGTCGCTCAGGTACGTTACCTTGGCAGCCGGTGACGGGGACAAGGAATGACATGAAAGAGTTGAGGCAATGAGTAGAGGAAGTTGAGCACTTGTGGGATGAAAAAAAGCAGCATTGTTTTGCTGAAGTGTCCCAAGATCCCCACCACAGCAAAGGTCATGCCGGCAAAGTAGCAGAAGGTGTCCCCAACAAACACTTGAGACGGGTACCTACAATCCAGAGCAGAAAAGCAAAGGTCCGTCATCATCGCTGTTGCCATGCAAATGACTTTATAACCACCGAACATATTCCCAAGCGGCTGGCTAGAGAGGGAACTGCAGCAAATCTACATGGTAAAAACAACCACTGCAGCTATCTATGTCAAGGACTGCAGGGCTGGGACCCACAACCTGATTTGCAGAGAATCTGATATGAAAGAATGGCTAAAGAGACAGAGCATATCCTCACGTACATTTTGGTGAGCCGTGCGACTGGAATTGTGCTAAAAAAAAGCTACCAGTGCATGAATGCTTTGCACTGTTGGTTCTGGCAAGGGACCCATCTATGCCCCAGCATTCCAACTGCATGCTGGTAAATGGGTTGGTTGGTTTGAAAAGGGAGAATGTAGAGGGAAAGGATGCTTCCAAAGAAACTCTGAATGGATGCTTCCAAAGAAACATCCTCTTACCAGTTGTGGTAAAACAGCCCCAGCGTGGTAAAAAAAAAGGGAATCATGAAGTAGAGAGAAAAAATGTGATCATCTCGGTAATCCCCTATAGAAAAAGAAAAAAATATGTTTGTGATAAGACAGGACTGGTTGTTTTTTACTAGTACCAGATATCAAAACCTAGGATTCTATCTCCCTTTGCTTTTTGCACCCCAAAACACGTACACTATCTACCTTACCATTTAACTCTACAATGTTGAACACAATAATGGAAGCAGCTATCACTAGCGACTGCCCCGCTTCAATTCCATTAATTCCAGCGAGAATGTTGATGGCGTTGGTGCAGAACACTGCTAGCATGCCCATGTACACGTAGTAGAGGATACCTGCAGGTCAGAGCAAGCAGAGTGCTTTAATACTCATAGGCAAAACAGACCCGGTCCAATTCACCAAAGCTCTTGCTCTGCACAACCCATTACCTGGTGTTCTCGGTGAGTTTGTCAGTAAGTGGTAGGTTACTGACAAATTGTTCTCTACCCCGTGACTTGGCTGTCATGTGTACGTGTATGTATGACGTAAGGGCCGCAGAGAATGGATGCGATGCAGCGGCAGACCGTAGCACTGTTTCTCGTTTCTGGTCATCCTGGCATTGGCAGCTGACTGCTGTACGTACCCGGTGCTGGACTGTATTGCCAGAACCCTGGAAATATGCGTGGTGCCTACCTGTGTGTGGCTGAGTGCGTGCTGGGTTTCTGGATGTAGTTTCCACCCTAATTAATATTTAGTGGGTACCCTCTCATTGCCAGTATAGTTGTGGGTGCATTCCCTCTGCAGCACAGAGTGCCTCGGGTGACCCCTTCAACAGATTGCTTGCCACTTGTATGATGGCTTCCGCTGATTCGTAACAACTTACCCAGGTCCAAGTGCATGCCCAGCAGCACACGGAAGGGCTTAGGCACCACAATAGTCGTGTTCCCAAAGTTGGTGAAGTAAACCATGAGCAGCGGGAGGGAAGCCATGGTCGGAAGAAGGAGCTTCTGGCGCCAGCGCAGGTTCAGAACGTCATCTGCAAAGCCCAGGAAAATCATGCAACAGATGGCGAGGAGCGAACCGATGAGCTCCACAAACTGCAGGACAGAGAACAGCACCCCTATTACCGGTGGCCAGTCCCGCCTGTGTCCGCCGCACTCCCGACACCAGGCGAGCCTCACCTCGTCGTGAGGAAAGGCCGCGCACTGCTCCTCCATGAAGCATCTCAGGAAGGGCACGGGGATGAAGCAGAAGAGGATGATCAGGAACACGGCCCCGCTGATCACACCCTGCGCTTCGGGGCTGAAAGGAAGGCAAGGCGCGCAGTCGGCCCAGCTGGTCCTGGTCCCGGGGCCGCTGCGGCCCTGCGGCGCACGGTTCGGTGGGGCAGCGTTACTCACACTGGCCGCCGCGAGGCCTTGTTGAGGTCTTCGCCGTAGAGCCGCGCGGCGAGGAAGCGGTCCTTGAAGGCCGGGATCAGTGTCAGCGTGGCCACCAAGCCCAGCAGCGACCCGCCGAGGTTGATGAGGAGCGGCACAACGGGCCAGGCCGCCATGACTACGGCGAGCGCTGCTCCTGCCAAGGGCACACACCGCGGCCGGGCGCGGAACGCCGCCCGCCACCCCTTCCGCCGCGTGTTTCCAGCCGGACGCTAGAGCGGAGGCACCGGATGCGCAGGCTCCCTCCAACCAATCGGCGAGAGGAGCGCCGGTTTTGGCACGAACCGCCGGGGGGGCGCGGGTTTCTCCCGGACACGCCGCAGCCGCGCTGGAGGGGGGAGAGCGCCTGTGCCCGGCGCTGGAGCCTTCCGGGTCAGTCAGCGCCGCGACCACCGTGGCCACCCTCAGTACGTCACTTCCTACCCCCGGCGGCCGGGCTCGCGGGACTGGGAATCGGCGCGGGGGAGCCGGGGCTGTGCGGGGGTGAGGAGGTCCCGCGTCGAGCGCTGGCGAGATGCAAGGGAGCGAGGGGCGGAGCAGCCGCGTGCTCCTTTACCGCGAGCCTTCCCTCCAGTATTTAAAAGCCAATAAAGTGCCTAACGGGAGCCTCTGGGCTGACGGTTGCTAGCAGCGCTGAGACCCTCGCGGGACCCTTTCCGCGGGGTGTGCGTGTGGTACGAGTCGGTGAGCGGCGAAGGGAAGCGGCGGCAGCAGCGAGAGGCTTTTTGCGCGCCCGGTGCGAGTGGACTGTGGCGCCCAGAGCGCTGCTGAAGGGGTGGGGCCGCTTCGGCCCCGCTGCGAGCACGATTTGTACACTTTAACGTGGAGGCTGCGGTGTTACCGGTGTCAGGGAGGAAACCGCAGCGAGGCGGGGGGCGCGGTGCTGGGCGGAGATCCCGCGGGTCCGCAGCAAGGCGTCGCCAACCCCCGGCCGGTGCTGCCGAGGGCCGTGACCGCTATGCGGGAGCGGAGAGGGCGAGCTGCGCGCGGGGCCGGGCCGCGGGGGGGCGCCGCGCCGGAAGAAGCCGGCCGGCGGCGGGGAGGGGGGCGGGAGGCAGGTCGGCTCCGCGGTTGTGCGAGCGCGGGCCCGGGTCTCTGCTCGGGCCAGGCTCCTGCGGCGCTGGCCGGGCTGAGCCCACGTGCGCCGCGGGGCCGGGAGGCGGGCTACGACGCAGCCTCGCCTCCTCCACACTCCCTCCGGCGGGAGGTGGCGGCGGCTGGGCCGGCGGCGGAGCGCAGGGGCCGTGCCCGTGCCAGCCGGCCCGCCGTGAGTCGCTGCGCGCTGTGCCATGGGGCCGGATCCGGGCTGGGCCGCGCTGGTGCTGCTCTTCGCCGCCTCGCTGCTCACCGTCGCGGCCTGGCTGCTTCAGTACTGGCGGTCCGCGGCCCTGCGGGCGGCGCGGCGGCGCGGGGCGGTGACGGAGGAGGCCGGGGCCCGGGCGCTGCTCGCCGCGCTCCTCGCTCTCCGATCGCTGCGGGAGCAGTGGCAGCGGGCCTGGGTGCGAGCCCTCAACAGCCAGGCGCGCCGGCACGGGGTACGGCCGGGGCCCGGGCGGGGGCGGGCGGCGAGGCGGGGCGGGGGGAGCTGGCCCCGGGGAGGTGGTGGCGGCTTGTGGGCGGGGGGGGTTGCCGGCCCTTTGTTCTCAGGCTGCGGGGAATCCGTCCCGGGCGGTCGCTGTCTGTGGCTGTGGGGGCTTGGCCGGAGGGAGCCAGCGCCTGTTCCCGAGCAGCGTCGTCGGAACACGGAAAGGAGGCGCTGGGCAGCGGCTTCTGGGCCCGAGGCCGAGCGGGCTCTGATGAAGCCGGCTGCTGTGGCCGCTCTGAGGTTTCCACAGCAACCTCTTCCGACTTTTGTGGTGTTGATTCTCTTTAGTCTCCTAGCGTTACCGCTATGTTGATCTATAGTTTTGCAGTCTATGAAGAAGAATGTTTCACACTGATTCCACGTGCAAAGAATTTCATGGTAGCTTGTGTTGCCTGTGGGGCAGAGGCTGCAAAGTCTGTTGTACTTGATAAGTTGATGGGGTGAGATGAAGCAATTGGATCTTTGGGGAAGGAGCCTTGGAAGAAGTGCTTGGTTTAGTTATGTGTTGCCTGCACTGTACCTGTGGCTTTTTTTTTTTTTTTTGGAAGAAGTCCTTTTCAGTTACAAGGCAGGTAAGTTGCACCCCTGCAGTACAGCCGTTAGAATAAAGGCTGCAGAACCTGAAGGAGTGTCCTCTGTGATTTGGGTGAAGGAGGGTTTTACTTCAGCACGTCAGCAAGTCAGGGGTGCTTTAGTTTTGGTACTTAAAGTAGATGGTGGTGTCTGGCATCTGGACAGCAGAAAGATTAATAAGGCTGTTTAACAGTTTTACTTGAAAGTAACTGCAGAAGGCAGAGCAGATCTTAATTATGTAGGTCAAGTGTAGTGTTCCTGAAGTTCTGCCGGGTTGGACGGGGCTTTGAGTAACCTGGTCTAGTGGAAGGTGTCCCTGCTTGTGGCAGGAGATTGGAACTAGATGAGTTTTAAGGTCCCTTCCATCTCAGCCATTCTGTGATTCTATCTAAGCCTTGTGATCTATACAGAAGGTTACTGCATTGCAACATTTGGCCTAGACTTGCAACTATCCTATATAATGCAGTTGTTTTTGAGGTATCTCTTTGTCAGGTGACAAAACAGCTGAAAGGTAGTGTTTTGTTCTTTAGCTAGTGCTTCGGTACCAACTTCCTGCGTGATGCATTCTGCTAAGGAGTACTTTGCTGACTCTCCCTTGTGTGTAGTCCCAAGAAAGGGAAAAGAAAATGCCCAAACTGGGGTAGAAGTCTCATGGTTTGCTAAGAAAGGATAATAGAGGGAGGCTAGCTTTCCGGAGTCCTAGTTAGGGACTCAGTCACTTCCTCCTCACTAGTCTATTTTCTTCTGTGGTTTTCTTGTTTCTTTGTAGCTTCTTTCAGCTTGATGAACTTTAAAAGATCAGTTTGGGGGTTTGTTTGCTTGTTTGTTTTTAACTTGGTCCAGGGTTAGCACAGAGGAGGGAGAGAAGAAACAGGAAAGCTTCTGCAGTGAAGAAGGGTTAATGCACTTGACTTAGAGTTGACTGCAACAATTTTGCATTCTCATTTGAGGTTGCCTGCCTGAAATTAATGTAGTGTTTGTGAGTCTAAGCCTCGAGTGGAGACCCTGTTTTCCTCTTCTGTAAGGGCAAGCCAAGATGGGCAGAATTGCAGCATGCAGTGGTTGTGCCTAGCAAGACTTGTGGAAAGGGACATGAGTGTGCCTGGGGCCCCACCCCAGTCATTCGTCCTCCTCCAAACTATCTGGGATATTTTGATCAGAACTAATGTAGTTCTCTTTTCGTAGAGTTCAGTGCAGATAACGTTTGAAGAGGGTTCTCAGCTACCACCAGCCGCAAATATAAGTCATGTGACATGCAAGGGACAGTCGGACTGCAGCATGGTAAGGGTTTGCTGTTCTGAATTGTTCTCTGTGGGTTTTTTCTGTCGATTGATGGCATGTTGCAGGGAAGCTCCTGAAAGCTGCGTGATGAGGACTGTGGAACTGGGGAGGTTTCGGGCAGGATTCGTTGTTGAGTTCGGTGATGTGCCAGCTGAGTCTGTGGGAGCCCTAGGGGAGATACGTTGGTGGAGCTAGCACATATATGTGCTGAGCCCGAATACCGGGATCCTGCAGTGGAGAAGGAGAAGAGAGATCTTGTCACCAGTATATCTTTACTGCATCACGTGCATAGTCTCTAATGGCAGGTTCCACAGGGTCTGAGGGCAAGCCTCATGTTTCTTTCCTGCCACGATGGGTGAACCTTGCCTATCACTTTTAGAGATTTTGCTGTTGTGTGGTGATAGCCTCTCACCAGTGGTATAAACTCTTCTTTCCTTTTCTTTCTAGGTGCTGTGTTGCCATCTGTCAGCTGAAGCTGTGAAATTCCCTGTGTCTGTTACTCAGCAGTCCCCAGTTGCTGTTTCTGTGGACACCTATCATGTCACTTTGGCTGTGCTGCAGGCTCAGGTAATGGTTGTAAAAAGTTAGCCTGTGACCTTGTTCCTTCACCTGCCCGTACACAGACTGAGGAAGGACGCAGTATAGTGTGAAGAAAGGCCTCGTGATGCTGGACGAAGTGTTGTTGCCGCCCTCATATTTGGCGCGGTGGTAGATAATCCCAATCTAAGTGCCAAGTTCCGCTTTCTGTGTCTTGTTCTGCAGATATTGGCTATATGACGTAGCCATAATAAAATCCAGAGAGGTTTGAGATTTGGCATTGATTTTGGTGCCTGGGCATCCAAAAGCAGCTAGGAAGCCAGATCTTGGTACGGAGCTTCTGCTGCAGCTGCTTCTCCCGTAGGCCTGGGACTGCTTGTATTCTTACGTTCTGTCTCTTACTGTTGTACTGGCACAGGAGCCTTTCAGTCGGTGAATTTGAAGCAGGGTGAGCAGAACCTCTTCTTTACTGTGGGTATTTGTTCTGGGTCAGGTGGAGATCCACTTGGAGGAGATTCAGAATGAAGGTCTCCTGGTGTCGTGGACATTCAAGGACAGACCGGACATGAACCTTTCCGTTCTTCCGAGACTTCAACTTTGTGAGGTGAGCGGCAAAACAGTGGGAGAGGCGGGCTTGAGTAAGAGGGAAACTGAAAAAGGCAGAAACAGTGCTGAGACAGAAGGAAGGCTGTGGCAGAGGGGAAAGGAGGAGAGGTTGGCACCTTGCTCTCGTGGCCCTTCAGGGCAAGGGAGGGGATTCTTTTGCCCTAAATTCTGTACTAGCTCAGCTCTGTCAAAACAGCTCTCCTCAAGAGGGGCTGAAGTGGTACTAATGCCTGTTGTCTGAGTTTGGTGTAGCAGCTGAATGGAAGTAAGCATAGCAAAAAAGTCTTTCTGTCTGCGTAGGTCCATCTGCTGTTGTCTGATGTTGAGCTGCACAATGAGCTGTTGGTTTTTTGTTTGTTTTTGGTTTGTTTTTTTTTGGGGGGGGGGTGTTGTGGGAGGGGAGTGGTGGTTTCAGCTTTTTGTTTGCTTGTTTTGTTTATTTGGGTTTTTTTTTGAGAGGTTAGTGTGCAGAACAGAGCCCACAGTTGTTAGAGGCTTAATGAGCTGAACACAGGAGTGCTTGTGCTTCTGTGATCCAAACAGGTTGGTTCATTTGTTTGTTTTATTGACACCCTTGTTGCTTTATCCTGAGCACATGGAGGAATCGAGCCGTTCTCCCAAAAGTGCCGTAGTACCATCTCTTGAGGTGGTGAGGATGTGACAAACTTTTAAAGCTATATTTTCAAAATTTGCAATGGGTAGACTACAGATGTAGAGGATTAGTCTGTCTCATTTAGACGACTTACATTTGCCTGCAGCTGTTACACAGAAACTTTAAATAGTGGGGAAAGCAAGTACAGGATATGGCAGGAGTACCTGGGATGCTATTGCTGGGATAAAGACCGTGTAGTGTCTTAGAGGTGTGAGAGGCAGCTGGAGCTGTATAAAAAGAAAACATGTCTGCCTTATTATGATTTTTCTGTTTCCTCTTGACTTGTGGAGAGAAGAATGAAGGGAGAGCAGACCTGTCCACCATAAAGGATCTGATTGAAGATACCATTATCAGCACACAGCCAGCCATGACAGTGAATCTGAAGGCCTGCGCTGCTGGAGCTGGTGCAGTAAGACACTCTCCTCCTGTCACTCTTGTGCCTCAAGCTCTGTGCCTAGGGGTGCTTCTGAGGGCTGAAGCTCAGGCAGGAATATGGAGGTCGAGACTTGCTTCTGGGTGACAGCCTCAACCCGGCCCGCACTGTAGTAGGGGTTGGGGTACTGTGGTATGGGAAGGAGAGTTGATTTGAAACCACTCCAAAGGGCAGCTCTGTTTGTACCTTCTTTTCTGAGCACTGAGTGTCAGTTTTATTGAGGTGGAGCCGAACTGCCTGAGACACGTCTCTTTTGGTAGTCTCTCCGTTCCTCTGAACGCTGAGGTTCTGTCTGCAGCAGCCTTTGTGGGCATGGAATGGTCCATGGAGTGTCATCTTCCATAGTCTGCCTGCCAGCCAGCGAGATTGAGCTTGGCTGTCTCATCTGCGTGAAATTCACCATCTGAAATAACACAGGGGCCCAACGGAGGTCAATATCTTGGGGGAACCTGCAGCATCTCTTGATGGCTCTGCGTGTATTCCCCGACAGTTGGTGCAAGGAGCAACTTGGCAGATGCAGGGATGAGCTGCCAAGTCATGTGTCTTGCTGCTGTTGGCTGGCAAGTGAACAATAAAGGTGTGGGTCTCACCCTTGTCATTTCTCAGGTTACCAGCGATAAGTTGACTCGAGAGTCACTGTCCAGAGTAGCCCCTCTGGGTTCTAAGCTGTTGCTCCGGAATCTTCGAGTGCTGAACTTGGGCTGCCAGGGGAAAGGAGGTAAGCATGAAAGCTTTGCTGATCTGCAGGGGCAAGCGTACAGGTGGTGAGACTGGAGTGAGTGGATGTTTTGCGTGGGTTTGAATGGAAAAAAATGGAAAAGAGGAGCATGTTACCACCAAGGCACTGCCTCGTGCTGAGCACATGCATGCGCTCCATCTCTCTGTTGCAGGACTTGAGGAGATATGCTGTGTGGCAGAACTAGACAGCCCCCTGCAGCAGAAGTGGACGAGGCCGGTGACAGCGAGCAGTGCCAGCGCTGTGGCAGAAATGGAGTGGAATGAGGAGCTGTTTCTGTAAGTGTTGCACCCTCCTCACAGCTGGCACAGCAGAGGTGGAGCAGCACGATTTCTGGGTGTCATTACTGCGTGGTGGTAATTGATGCAGACTGTACAAAAGGTGAAGTCTGCATTGTGAGGCAACAGGAGTTTGTGCTGCCCGTGTGCTGGGCTAGCAATTCCAGTGATTGGCCTCAGCTTGCATATGTATTTCCTGCTCCTCTGGACTCTGTTTTAACTGGGTGGTCAGAAGGGGTGATCGTGGTCGGCAGGTGCAGGTGCACAAGGCCTGGAGTGTAGATCTTGGCCTTCCAGATGAATTGCTCTCTCAACTTCACCTGGAAATGTAACACAGGCCTGCAGGTGATACAAACGGGAGTTCTCTTCTTCTGTGTAGTGTGCTGGCAGGGGCAGCAAAGTTGTCTTGTCCTCCGAAGTAGCATATGCATACTGAAGCTTTGTAAAAGATGACGAGGCACGTGAGATTTCAGGGAGGGAAGATACGGAATGGGCTTGCTTGCTGCTTGGCTCTTTTGCAGATTGCCTAATATGAGCCTTTTTTTGTTCCAACAGGGAGTTGGGACACAGAAGTAGAGAGCTGAAGCTACAGGTGCTGGGGAGCAGCGACAGAGGGGGAAGTGAGTACTGGAAGCCGTAGGAGAGGTTGTAAGATGGCGAGACAAATGTGCCTAAGGGACTTCATGTGCTTTGAGCCTGAGGTGGTTTGGTGTCGGTACGATTGCAATGAACTCTGCAAGCGATTTTTCATATCTGATTGTATGTGAGCCTCTCACTGTGTAAAACAACTTTTGAGTCTGTTCTTCCAAGTGAAACGCTCCTAACTTTGACCTTTCTGGTACCTGGGAGATTCCTGTGGCCTGCCCGTCCCCAGTCTTAAGTGGGGAGAGGGATGCGGGGATTTGTCCCAGGGTGTTGTAAGAAGTTTGCACAAGGCTCGTAACTGTTCATTTGCACTCAGTCAGGGACTTAATACAGTACTTACTTTTGATGGAGGCTGCGCGAAACCCACCTCTTTCAGGGAGTCAGTTTCTGGATCAGTAAAGAGGAGCGGAGGAGCACTGCCTGCCTCTTCCCCACCTTGAGCCTGGGAGCTATAGGCAGGGGGGCTTGGCTTTGCTGGCCCACAGGGCTGCTTCCCAAAAAGCAGAAGGTGTCTTGGATGCTGAGCTCACGCAATGCGTTCTGTTTTCCTGTTCCTTCCTGCAGGTGTGTTGCTGGCACATACCACGCTTTTGCTTGATTCTTTGGGCAAACAATCTTCTGGGAGACAGGTCTGCTCACTGGCCCCAGCAGCCGGGTGGTCACTGGCGGCTGAAGCTACCATTACGTTGGAGGTGAGCCTGTAACAGTGTTTGCGATGCGAGCCTCTAGCTAGAGATGGGTGTAACTGGTCCTTGGCTCATCGCAGGGGACTGTCAGACCTTTATGTTGCAGAGGGGTGTCATCGGGCCCTTGCTCCCCAAGCCTCTGTCTGCTCCACCAACTTGGTAGCGGGGATAGCTCCTTGGTGCCTGGAGCAGTAGCTTTTGTCATCCATGCACCTGTCTTTCCAACTGGGAAGAGGAGAGCCTCTCTGAGCTGCACTTTACTCTTTGTAGCTGCTATTCCAGGAGTCTCCTGTATCTTTGAACACTCAGCATGCTCCATCTCTGCGAACCAGCATCACCCCCACTAAGAAGGTGGAGATGGACCGGACCATCATGCCTGATGGCACCATCGTGACCACTGTCACCACGATTCAGTCCCGGCCCAAGGCAGACTGCAAAATGGGTGAGGCTGCCGTGTGATGGGCATCTTGTACATGTCACTGCTATGGGGGTGCAGGCTCCTTAGCATCCTGTGGCTGGCTGGAGGCTTGCACCTAGCCTCAAGGAAGGGAATTGATGCAGCCCTGTGTTTGGGGGGAAGTGAGAGAAGGACAAGTCTCTCTGACGCCTTCTGACAGTGGAAGCTCCTGACTCTAACACGCATACTGTTGCATAACCTCTGCGTTAAGGCGGGCAGAGTGCTTTGCCACTCTTCCTCTTATTTACATGCTGAATGCAGAACCGGAAGCACATTGACCTCGCTTGCTAGTGGTTGTTGCTGCTTGCGGTCTGATCCTGATGAATGTGTGCTGCATATTCCATGAGGCAGGGACAGAAAATGGCATGAACAGGGTGTCGCAGGTGGGTTGCTTTGTGTGTCTTTTCCCAGTAGGCTTTCTACTGCTTTGTTATTGCAAAGCCTCACAGAGCCAGCCTCTGCAGGCTCTCAGCACGTGCGCTTGAGGTTTTTTTGGGGGGTGTAGGGGGCCACGACATGGTAGCGAAGTTGCCTAAACTTCATCTCCTCTTACTGGTGTCTCTGTGTCTCTGCCTCTTTTACCATGAAGATTCACCATCGAGGTCGCCTTCCAAGGTGGAAGTGACTGAAAAGAAGACAACGGTGCTTTTGGAAAGCAGCTGCCCTTGCAGCCCCTTGCCCAGCAGCAGCTGTAAGTGCTTGGAAAACTGAGGCTTTTGTTGGAGCGACTGTATTCCTTAGCCTTTCATGGAGGTTGTCTGCTGTCTGAATGTGGAGCACAGAACTTGTCTGCATTTCCTGTGGCAGAGGATGTCTGAGTGCCTGAGGGAAGGTGGGGGCAGAGGGGTGGTGGCAGGTGGTAGCAGGTAAAAGGCACTCTGGCTATCTGGTCTGTGACTAGGCATTTCCTTTCTTGATGAGAATGTTCTAGGCTATCTGAACCCAAAGAGCTGTGCTCATCCTGTACTCAGGACTCTGACTGTCTCTGGGACAGAGAGCTGCAGCCTTTTTGATGGTTCATGGCCAAGGGTGCCCAAACTCTTGGAAGTCTTTGGAGGTCTTTGTCAAGCGGGAAGGGTATTTTAATGACCTATCCGGTGGGAAATCGAACTTCGCAGGTGCCTGAAAAAGCCAAGAGCTATATGATGCTTCCTTCCTTTGGTTTATTTGGGCAAGTGTGTAGTAAATTCTGTTCTCTCCCTTTGTGCACATTGAGTTGCCTGTAATGAGCATCGTGGCAAGCAAGCGACCTCTTGCTGGTGCCAAAGGTCACTACACCAAGTGTTGGTATCTTTCTTGTGCTCAGGGAATAGCTATATGCCCAACGGCTTGGATCCGGTGGCTGAGACGGCGATCAGGCAGCTGACTGAGACAAATAACAAGCCTGCCAAGAAGACCCCAACGAAACGTAGCACGCTGATCATCTCGGGAGTTTCCAAGGTCTCTGATAGTTGCAAGGTTCCATTTCCAATCTGTGAAGTCTTTTCTAGGGATGGGTGCATTGAAACCACCTGGTCCGATAGGAACCAGTGTGGGAAGGTTCTGGCACAGAAAACTTGCTCGACAGAACCCTTTCACTGCTTCCTTGGAGCTTGTCACTGCTTCCCAGTGAGCATCAAAGGTACCTTGCCAGTCTGCAGGGCAGCTGCTGGTGGGAGTTCACAAAGGGCAGCCATGGAAAGAGAGGCTGCTGCCATAGCTGGTTGGGAGCCTCATGAAGTCCTTGGACTTGCCTGAGGGAGTGAGAGAGAGATGCCGCAGAATGCTTTGGAATCTGCCACGTTCCAGTATGTTTCAGCAAAAAAGTGACAGTTGCGCATCGGTGCCATCTAGCACTAATGATCGGATCCTGAGTGTCCATATGTAGGTGTGAATGGAAAATGGGAGATAAGTGTGATTCTTTTAAACTCTGTCTTCCTGTCTGTCTGACTCTCTGATACCCCTCAAGGTACCTATCGCTCAAGATGAAATGGCACTTTCTCTGGGTTATGCTGCATCCCTGGAGGCCACAGCATACAGGGATTCTGTGGCAGAGGGCACAGGCGAGTGGATGCACGATTCTACTGAATCATCACAGCTGCTGGAATCGTCGCCGTCTAGACAGAGAGCCGGTCAGGAGCTGGATGAGACAACACGGTCGGACATCTCCGAGAGGCCATCGGTGGAAGATGTTGAGTCTGAAACTGGTTCCACAGGAGCACTTGAGACCAGGAGCTTGAAAGATCACAAAGGTAAGGATGAACTAGTAGATGGTAGCTAATGTTAGACTTGAGGACCAAGTGCTGTCTGAGTGCCCCGCCCACAGAGCAGCAGGGCTGCAGGCAGCTTTCAGCATGGTGAAGAGCGGCTTCTGTGAGAGCCTGGAAAAGCCTGTCTTTCTCACATGCTTCCTGCTGGAGCGGTTCCAAACTCCGTTGTTTGCAGGTGTCCGAAACCGAAAGCTGTGGCCTTTTCGGTTTCTGTGCTTTCTGTCCCGGTTCTGTGCTCTCTGCCCCCTGCATGGTTTGCGTGGTTTGCATGTTTCTGAGAACCTGTGTTCTCTCCCTAGCCTCTAGGACTACACATTGGACACACCTCCGTAAATGATTCCTCCTCTGAATTCAGCTGCCTTCAGCATGGAAACAGAGGCTGGCCAACAATGTGGATTGTAGAGGCCTCGATTCCCTCCCTCTTTCTCTGTTAACTCATGCTTCTGACCTGTTGTACCATAGGATGTCCACATGAACTGTCCGTTTTCAAACAACGGAGTGGGCCTCCTATTCTGACCAAGCTGCTGTTCCAGACTTCCTGGGCTTCCTGTGTCAATTGGGTGGATGGCACACCTTGGATTTGTCACAGCTTGTAGCTGTAGTGGTTTCACTTAACTGCAAACTTACGTAAATAAGCACCAGCCAAAATCTCGATTGCTGAGAATATGAGAGCGGGACAGGTTTTAGGAGGGTGTACTGTGGTACAACCAGGTGCAGTTCAAACTGTGGTGACCAACCCCTTGTTTGCATGTCAGTGGGTAGGAAGGTGTGTGGCCCTGATTCTTGAGAGATGTGGCAGGCGGGGAAGGAAGAAAACCAGAAAGCGAGCCCCCTCTGTAGGAAATACTATTGCGGCTTTGTATGGCGTGCAGGTTTTGAATATGCCTTTTTACACCTGGCACCTGTTTGGGGCTGATGGTGATTGCCATCTCCATCCCGTCCTGCCCACGTGAGTCATCCAGAGCTGTTGCTGTCATTTGTCTCCGGGTTCCGGCATCTCGTGAAACTGGGGGCAGTCACTCTAGTGGCTAGATCACTGACTAATCCAGGTCTCCTTGACACAAGCTGGTCCGAGAGGCCTTTTCCCTGCTGCATGTTTCTCACGGTGTCTCTGCATGCAGATTTTCTCATGTGTTTTCCCTGTGTGTGAGTCTTAGCTTTCTATTACAGTTCTGCACGCTTCTGCTGCAGGGAGGACATCGTTGTGTAAAAGGAAGGTTATGCAGAGGGGACGTGTGATGGCATGCTTAGTGAAGCCGCTTGTTGGTATTGCAGCCTGTTCCGAATGTAGGCTTTTGCCGTGCAGCCAGGAGCTGGGATTTGCTGAGCTGCTGTGAGCTTCCATTGCTCAGGGTGGAAGATATCTGTGCTGCACATCAGAGAGCAGCTGGGTGCGTTATTGCCCCCGAGACACAACGAGGGCAGGATACTGTCATGATTTTCAATTCCTTCCTTTCCATCTCTACAGTTAGCTTTCTTCGGAGTGGAACCAAGCTCATCTTCCGGAGGAAGAGTAAGCAGAAGGAGGCAGGCCTAAGCCAGTCGCATGATGACTTGTCCAGCATTGCCACCGACTCCGCTGCCGGGAAGAAAGCCGGCAGCTTCTCCCATCGCCTCATCAAGCGCTTCTCCTTTAAGTCTAAATCCAAACCCAAAGTTAGTGACAGCGTGACGGCAGGTGAGAACTGAAGGACGGAGAAGCTGTAAAGATTGCACAGAGATCCTTTTCTAGTCTCCTGTCTTCCCGCTCTATGGTATCTGTGACCTGTGGTCCGGTTCCTTTCAGCCTTGGCAAGGGAAGACGCCCCTGGTGCTTTATGCCATTTGGGGAACAGAGGTGGTGAAACCGGGGCTTAGGCTGCTCATCTGCCTCTCCTTAGCCCTTTCTGACTGTCATATCCCACTGTACTCTCCCAGAAAATCCAGGTTGTGTGCTAATCCTGGTGGAAATCCCAGGAGCTGTGGAAGCGACTCTGCACTTGTAGCCGTCTGGTGTTGCTGGGTGCATCCTGGAAGGAAGGGGGCAGTGGGGAGGCTCTCGAGTGGCAGTGCTCAGAGTTAAAGACGGAGAAACTGCTGGGTTAGCTACGTTGCTGAGAAGCGTGGGATGTAGCCTTGCTCAGTTCTGGTGGGAGAGAATGATGTGGTCGCTGGCCATCTAAATGCTCTCGTTGCTTCTGCATGGTGCAGAGCCTGTAATCTGACTGAGGTATGGTGCGGTGTGTTCCCAGTCTGCGAGTTGTCAGGAGAACAAGCTGCGGTTCTTGGCTCTTGGAACAGCTCTGTATCCAAAAGTGCTGAGGGATGCCTGCTTTCTGCACTATGCAAATGAAGGAAGGAGCCTCTAAGAAGGAAGTTTAACCACCAGGCGAGTTTTTGTAGAAACCTGGGCCCTTGCAAGAATGTCTGGTTGGTGCTGTCAGCACTGCCACCCTATGACGCAGCCTTCCTTTCACATCCGCGTCGTCAGATGGGAAATAGGCTGTGATGCACACGTGCACTGACCGTTGTATGAGCAGAACCCTTTCCCTCAGGGCGGTTGGGGGTGTTGCTGGGCAGGGCTGCCTTCCGGACTTGTGGGGTGCCTGCCTCTTGTGCTCTTGTGGTTCTTGCCAATGACCGATACCACACTGGGGATGTGGGTTAGGAATGTGGCGACCCTAGTGAAAGGGCAGTGTGAAGTCTAAAGCCATGTGGCAGAAAGAGGCAAGAGTTTATATGTTTTCACTTATGAAAAGGTTTCTTGTAGTAGAAAGGGCCTTTCTTGACTGCATCTGGTATTTCCTTTTTTTGAGCAAACCCAGTCCACTGCATTCAAACAGCAGGTGTTTCTGTAGTGGGTATTTGCGGAGGAAGAAGCACACGGGAGAAAATCAACTCCTTGTGCAGAAGGAAGCTGACCTTCTAGACAAATGGTTTCCTGCTCTGCTGACATGCGCCCTTTGTGAATATCCCAAATCCTTGTTCAGCTAGAGTAATGACACTCTCAGAGAAACCCTTGTGTCCTGACAGCGTGCCTGGTTTGAATGACAGCTCCTGCTCTCTTGTGAGTTGTAGAGTTAAGGAGGTAGGGCAAAGAGGAGGAAAACCTCCCTGAAGAGCAGTTGTCTAGGCCTGACTGGGTTCACTAGCTCTGTTCTCCTGTTACAGTACCTCCCAGGTGGGAGCTGTCGCCCTGTCTTGCGCAGGATGTGACCAACTGAAAAAGCAGTTGTTCTCCTGACAGGGTACATAAACCAACATCCCATTCTTTGGAAGGACACATTCTGGTTTACCCATATGGCCATTTCCAGAGACTGGAATGCATTCAGTATGCTTCTGAGAAAGGATTGACAGACGTGTATTTTGGAGCATCTCTTGAAAGTGTCTGAAGGTTGGGGGTGGGGGGCAGAGTCACCTGCTGGGGCTGGCATTGAAACTGCTGGTGCTTGCCAGTGGGAGGGATTCTTCTTTCCTGCCAACTCCCTATGAGGTTGAGCACATGTGAGAAATCGGACCAGCCCAGCTGGCTGACCAGGAACCTCTTCTCCATCTGTTTGTTTTGGTCCAAGAGTCTTTCTGTTCATCCCCGTGCTCTTCCATGTGTTTTGTCCTTTGTTTCTTCCCTCATCCACATGGTACCGTGGCTTTGTTTTCAGCTCCATGTGCTGCTGATGTCAGTGCTCACCATTTCTTGCTGAATGTGGATTTCCTTGATGCGAGCTTGTGGTTCCTGCTGTGGTGCTGGTGGAAGGTGGCAATATGCAGCTCTCCTCTAGCCATCTGGCAGCCAGTTTGATGTAGCCTTCCTTTGCCAGATCGGTGTGGCTTTGCACATGGCACTGTCCTTTGCAGGCACACCCCTGTTCCCAGCACCTTGGGGTTTGGTTCCTTTTTGGGCATTCCTTCTCTCTTGCACTGTCCCTGCTACCGATCTGTCTCTGTCGCTCACGGTACTCAGCACTCTGGTTTGGGTTTTCATGTGTCCTTTTTTAATGCATGTCAAGGTATTGCTTTGAATGAAAAGTGCTGGCTGAGCCCAAACAGCACCACTTCTCTAGTGGTGTGGCTGTGAGCCTCGCATTAGAAGTGCTGGCTTGAATAGAAGGGAACTTCCAGACAAGCCAGCAGCTCTTCAGTTGCGGTTTATCGCAGGACTTTCTGTGGGTCTCATTGAATAGTCCTGTGTTCTTTTCTTTAAACAGCAAGAGCAGCTCAAGCTGTCTTGGTGTGGAGCAGCCAGAGGTGAATGCTCAAGGCTCCCTGCTGTGCTTCTAAAGCATGAGCCTGTGGCTTGCATACTCAAGATGATCTACAAGGCCTGGTGAGCCTTGTCCTTGTTGCTGTAGATCAGAGGTAGGAAAGGCAATTGAGGTTCTTGTCTGGCAAACGCATACCTAGATTTCAACTGGAATGTTTTGTTCTCCCTTGGGGGAAAGAGACGATAGGAAAGCTAGGAGTGAAACCGATAGAGTTCTTCACTGGCCTTAGGGACCAAGGATGCCTTTCTAGCCATGTTAAAGAGGCAATTTGTTTTTCCTGAATTTGTTTCCGGTTTGTCTGCTGCAGGCAATGCCTGCTCATGTATCATGGTAGAGGTACTGGTTTTGATTTTGAGCATTGCCTTGGCAGAACACTCATCTGGGAATCTTCCTTCGCTGCGGTCTGTGGAACGAATGGTGCACAGGACATGTAAAAGTCGGTGCATATCTTCTCTTGAATTTTTTGGTGGTGCTTTTTATCATGACCTGTAAATTGCTGTGAAAGTTTCTATTGGGTTAGATAGTTGCGAAGGAAAGGGATATTGTCAAGTGCTGACAGCGCATGTCCCCAGCCGTTAATTCCCACACCTGCTTGTGTTTCCTAGCAGAGATATACTTTCTGCCATTTTGTGGCTTCTCAAAGTTGAACAGTGCAGGACTAATACTGTAACCTTTTATCTTCTTCTAAATGTTATTGGGAAGCGCGGAATATTTTTGAGGGTGTTTGGGTAAACTGCTGTTTTCATGGACAGAGGGGTAGGGGGAGTGGCTCAGCCACATACACTGGGAGCTTTTCAGTTCAGGTATGCTCCTGAGTAACGTGTTGATCCTTTCTCTTTGTGTCTGTGCATGGCTTCCTTTCTCACACTCGCAGTCGTGTTTGTCCCTCGAGTTGTAGGCAGCTGGTTTTGCTAATCCTGGTTATGCAAGCACAAGTGAGTCTCTTGGCTTTCTAAAGCCAAGAACAGTAATGAATCTGCCTCACGAGGAAGGTATGATTATCAGTGTGAGAAACCATTCTTCTATCCTAATCTTCTTGGAAGGAAAGGGAAGGTCATGTAATTCTTTGGCCTCCAGAAAAAGTTAAGACACGGTCCCAGGGAGTTTTTCCCCATAGTGCTCCTGGCTTTTTATTCTCTGCTTGGGTTTAGGACAAGAAGAAATGCTATTTGAAATCTGCTTTTCCCTGCTTAACTTCTTCCGGATACCCGTGTCTTTGCTTCGGTGCCCTTACATTTCATAATGCCCTGTGACCACGAAGCAACCCTAGTGTGTGGTGCAGGCCGCAATCAAACTTTTTGGAACCATCAGTAGTTGCCAGGTTGCTGTCTCAGGGTAGGCTTTATATCTGCACCTTGTGAAATTGGTCCTCAACCAAATATGTGGGGGAAGAATTGCTGACAGAGTGGCAGGCATGAATGTGGGGAGGCTTCTGAAGGAGTTCAACATGCTTATAGGGGCCTGCGTTCAAAATACTGCGTTGTGCTGCTGGCTGTAAGTACGCTTGTAAGTTTATTTTGCTCCAGATACATCCTCTCGCCGTGTTTTGGTAAGGCTTGTTAAGAGCTTCCCCATGGGGAAAAAAACCCTTGATATCAGCTTGAGAGGGGTATCCTCTTTGAGGCGGGAGAAGATAGGCATGGGAAGAAAAAGAGGGAACTGCAAAACTCCAGCAATTTGGGGTGCCATAGGCTTTATCCTGACGGGTGCCTGACTGATGCCTGATAATTGAAGAGGGTGCTCGAAGGCGGAGGGATTGTATGTGTGCACGTGTTTGCTGCGAAATGATGGCACTGATTGGTAAAGTGGCCTTAACTGGCTTTTGTGATATCCACAAAATATTTCTTACATGGACACCCTTTGGAGGCAGTCTTGAGCAAACAAGTCCAACTTCTGCCCCTGCAAACACCCTTGTGTGTTTGTGTAGCTGAGGACAGGCTTATAGGCAGATTGGCTAATGTGGGGAGAGCAATAGGAGTTTACTTGGGTAGAGAGCTAGTCGGAAAACAGTTTTGGGGATGGGAGGAGCGTAATGAAAGCTTATATAATAAAGTATATGTAATAGAGCAGAGGTGAGGGCCACAGGCACACTCTGTTTCTAGACTAGAACTGGGCAGGGGGCAAAATGTATGTTTACAAATGTTTTCATTCCACTTGTTTGTCTCTGTCATTGCTGCATCCTTCCTGCGATGGCTTCTCTCAGTTCATTGCCTGCTAAATAGAGATGTCATTTTTGGATAGCTGGGGAGATGCTTGAATGTTGGGTCGCTGGTGATTGCATGTTCTGGGGTCTTTAGCATCGTTCAACCCTCCCTCCCCCTGTGTAGGGCACAGTGTGCGTCACGATAGAGTAACAGTCCCGGTGGTTCAAACTTCTGGAAAAGATCTTTGTGTACTTGTGGTATTCCAGCTCCTTCTACAGGCATGACTGCTTCACACCACCTTTTCTCGTGCATACAGGTACTGGACCAAATACCCACTCTGAATTTGTATGTGCTCTTTTGTACTTTGATGCCTTCTCTCTGGGTGGATTTATTTTAATCCTGAATCATTTAGAGGAGAGAAAAAAAAAAAAGAAAAAGGAACCATGTAGCTATTTAAGAGATGAAAATAAAATTACTTAATTCGGGCTAAATGAATGAAGTTCTTGCACCTTTGTAAATGTTGAAGAAGAATTCCATTGCTGTGTAATGGCTGAACCTGTTAACTTATTAAACCACATGGAAATCAAAACCTGACCCAGAGTCTGACTTCATCCCCACTGGAGTGCAAAGAGTTAGGCTTTTTTTCCTTTTCATGGAGAGAGGTGATTTGTAACCCTCTCTGGTAAGACTTGTCTCTCAGCAGTCATTTTTGCCAAATGCAGATACATGGCCTTATTAAGACTGCAGCTAGGGTTTTAGCCTTGTGTCATGCTTCTAGGATGCAAGAGCTTCCTGAGATGTTGGCTTCAGAAAGCAGCATTCTTTATTGCAGCATGGGGCGTACACCTGAATAGTTTTGCAAAGGTGAGTATGCTGTCACTTGTTGACAGTGGCTATATATTTAGCATACTCATGCATATTCATAGCTCTTCTATGAACTAGTTATAATTGCATTCTAATTACGCATGAGCTTTCTTGCTGATGGGTGGGGCTCTTTTGGTTTTTGGTAGTGTTCCTCACTATGTTTACTGAATGACCTCAGTGCTGGCACATGCTTGCGAGGTTCTAGTGCTGTGTTAGCAGTTGGAATGTCCTTGCTTCTGTTCTGTTCCAGGGGTACTCCACGTTGGGCACCACTCTGAATCTGGAAGGCTGGCATCCTTGGTCTTACCGAATCCTTAGTTGTTATAGTCCTGTGGTGTTCCTGCCCCATCAGCCGAACATTCCTTTTTCTCTACGTGTTAGCAAGTTAGCACAGTTTGCTCCATTCAGCTATGTTAGTTTGAAGTCACACACACTACTGTTAGTTTAAACCTATAAATTTAAGTCTACATGCCCAGTAAGTAGCTGGAGGATGTAAACTGGGCCGGGGAGCGCAGCCCATCGCGGCTGCGGTACCGAGTAAGTGAGCGGGTGCTGCCATCCTGTGAACAACCCTTGGTACTGTACGTGAGGAGGCAGGCGCCGCTTTCTGCTGCCGCCCTGTGGGCAAAAGTCGGTACTGCAGGTGGTGGTGATGGCGGGGCGCGGTGTAAAGCTGGGCGCGGGAACCAGCGGCAGGTGCGGGGGGCGGTGGCCGGTGGAGGCGGCGGGAGGTGTCCTGGTGGGAGTTGCTCATGGCCGGCGCCATCTTGGGTGTGGCCGCGGGTTGGGATTGTTGCTGCCATGTTGGGAGTCTGGGGGCAGCCGTATTGGTGAGGTGCCATTGGCGCCATTGTGTACGCCCCATTCCTCCATATTGAGGCCAGCCCCTCCTTCCTGCCGACTCATGCCCTCACCCATCATGGCGGCCGCGTTGCCGTGGTAACGGCCGCATCGGTCCTGCGCCGCCGCCATTTTTCGTTCCAAGATGGCGCTGGCGAGCGTGTTGCGGGCGGAGGCTCCGCTCCCGTCCCGTTCCCTCCTCCCGGGGCTCGCCGCGCCCCGGGACCCGGCAGGGCCCCCCGCCGGCATCGCCGCCCCCCTCCTCCGGGAGCTGCCGCCGCTGCTGCCCGGGCCCGGCATCCACCTCCTGCACGGCACCACCACCCTGGCCTTCAAGGTACGGACACTGGTGGGCAGAGAGACACATAGGGACCCATAGAGAGACATTGTGTGTGTGTGTGTGGGGGGGGTGAGACCCACAGAGAGACAGTGGAGGGACTGGGACCCATAGAGAGACATTGGGCGGGGGGGAGGGGGGGGGTCTGTGACCCATAGAGAAACATTAGGGGGTGCTGGAACCCATAGAGACCCCACAGAAACTCCATAGGGACACATTGGGAGGTTGGTATGCACATAGGGACCCCATAGGGGCCCATAAAGAGCTATTTTGGGGCAGCTGGGACACATAGCCACTGGGGAGGGCTGGGGCACATAGAGACCCTATAGACCCCCATAACCCACCAAAGACACCCTGTAAATTCCCATATTTCCCCATAAGCCTCCATAGACACACGTAAGCCCCCATTTTTACCAGGTAACCTCCCCATAGACACCCCATAGACCCCCATATCTCCTCTAATTCCCCCATAGCCCCCCCCCCAGACCCCATTATGGGTCCCCAGACCCCCAAATCCTCCCATAGACCTCCCCATCCCCCCCCATAGGCCTCATAGGATCCCATTTAGGGACTCCAGACTTCCATATCCCTCCATAGACACCCTATATCTCCCCATATTTCCCCATTGAACCCCATGCAGGGACTCCGGTCCTCCATATCTCCCCAATATCCTCCCATATTTCCCCCTAGAACCCCTTGTACTGGACTCCAGACTCCCAAATACCCACAAAGAACCCCATAATGGGACTGCAGACCTCCATATACCGCACATAAACCCCCATAGAACCCTATATCCCCCCCATATTCCCCCTTAGAAGCCAATGTAGGAACTCCAGATCCCCATATCCCCCCATTCACCCCCATAAAGGGTCTCCACACCCCCACAGAACCCCTGTAGAGACTCCAGACCCCCAAATCCCTCCATATCCTCCCATATTCCCCCATAGACCCCCATGTAGGGATTCCAGACCCCTGTATCCCCCTTAAACCTTCCGTAGACCCCCATGTAGGGACTCCAGACTCCAGGCAACCGCACTCTGGCTGTTCCTCCGCAGCTGCCCCATGGCGTGGTGCTGGCCGTTGACTCCCGCGCCACGGCCGGCTCTTATGTGGCGTCGCAGTCAGTGCAGAAGGTGCTGGAGGTGAGCGCACGGGTGCTGGGCACCCTGGCTGGCGGCGCTGCTGACTGTGCCTTCTGGCAGCGGGTGCTGGCACGGCAGTGCCGTGTGTACCGCCTGCGTCACCGGCAGCACGCCTCGGTGGCTGCCGCCGCCAAGCTGCTGGCCAACATGGTGTACCAGTACAAGGGCATGGGGCTTAGCATGGGCACCATGATCGGCGGCTGGGACAAGAGGGGGCCTGGTGAGTATGGGTTGTGGGGGCTGGACACCATGGGATTGGGGGTTATGGGGCCAAAGAGTTAGGTATTGAAACATATGGGGTTGGGGGTTATGGTTTGGGGGTGATGGACACAATGGGGTTGGAGTTATGGTGCTTGGTGGCCGGGTTATGGCGTGGTGGACATCATGGGGTTGGGTGTTATGGGGCCAAACAGTTGGGTATTGAAGGATATGGGGCTGGGGGTTATAGTTAAGGGGTGATGGATACAATGGGGTTGGAGTTATGGGGCTCGTGGTCAAGATTAGGGGGTGATGGACATCATGGGGTTGATGGTTATGGTGCGATATTCATGGTTGTGAAGTTAAGAACTTGAGTATTGAAGTATAGGAGGCTGGGATTATGGTTATGGGCTGGTAGATACCAGGGGATTGGGGGTTAAGGGGTGAGTGGCACCGTAGGGTGGTGGTTATGGGGCTCATGGTCAAGGTTAGGGGGTGGTGGGCACCATAAGATAGGTGGTTATAGGTTGGAGTTGGTTGTTGTGGGGTCAGGGAGTTGGGTGTTGAGTTATATGGGGCTGGTGACCATGGTTGTGGGTCTCTATTTCCTATGGTCCCCCACTGACCCTATTGCTCCCCATCACCCCCTAGGCCTCTACTATGTGGACAGTGACGGCACACGCGTCCCAGGCACCGCCTTTGCTGTGGGTTCGGGCTCGCCCTATGCCTATGGGGTGCTGGACCGCGGCTACCACCCGGAGCTGGAGCTGGAGCCTGCCTGCGCCCTGGCGCGCCGCGCCATCTTCCAGGCCGCGCACCGTGATGCCTACTCAGGCGGCCGTGTCTCCGTCTACCATGTGGGGCCTGAGGGCTGGCGCCGCGTCTCCTGCGACAATGTAGCTGAGTTGCAGGAGCGCTATGGGGCCGAGTGGGACGGCAACGAGTGAAGGAACAGTGTGGAACAGGCGGGTGGGAGGTGAAAACGGGCAAAACCGGGAAAAAACAGCTGTTTGGGGGCTGAAAACAGCCATTTTGGGGCCAAAACTGGCTGTTTGTGGGCTGAAAATGGGCAAAAATGGCTGTTTGCAGGCTGAAAGTGGTTAACCCTGGGTGTTTTGGGGCTAAAAGTGGCTGCTTGTGGGCCAAAAGTGGCTGTTTTGGGGCTGAAAACAGCCGATTTGGGGCTAAACCCGGTCATTCTGGGACTAAAAACATCATTTGTGGGTTGAAAATGGTGTCCAAGGCGTGGTCATTGCAATGGCGCCATTCGGCTCCAGAGTGAACAGCGCCGGAGGGGGACGGGCCGGGGGGGAATGTACATGACACAGGTGTGTGTGGGGAAGTGGGTGCTGATTGATTAAGGGGGGGGTGCGGCGCTGCACTGTGATTGGTGGGGGGTGGAAGGAGGAGTGGGGCTCAAAGGTAGTGCAATGGGATGTGAGTAGTGGTTATAGGGGGTTTTGAATGGGGTCTCTGGGGGTTAAAGGGGGTCTGTGGGGATTAGAAGGGGTTTGGGGGGTGTGTAGGAGGTTAAAGGGAGGTTGGGAGATCTGGAGGAGGTAAAATGGGGTTTGGGGGGTCTATAGGAGGTAAAAGGGGGTTTGGGGGGTCTGGAGGAGGTAAAATGGGGTTTGGGGGGTCTGGAGAAGGTAAAATGGGGTTTGGGGGGCCTATAGGAGGTTAAAGGATCTTGGAGGGGGGGTCTGTGGAGGGGTTAAATGGGGTCTTTGGGGGTTTAGTGGGGTTTGGGGGATCTGTGAGAAGTTCAGTGGAGTCTGTAGCGGTTAAAGGGGGTTTACAGGGTTCTATGGGGGGTTAAATGGGGTCTATGGGGGATTAAGTGGTGTTTGGTGGGATCTATAAGAAGTTCAGCCGGGGGTTAAAGGGCTTTGGAGAGGTCTGGGGGTGGCTCAAATGAGGTTTGGGAGGTCTATGGGGGGGGCTTAATAGGCTCTATAGGGGGTTAAAGGGGGTTTGGGGGTCTAGGTGTTTAAATGGCATCTGTGGGACTTAAATGGGGTCTATGGGCAGTTAAATGGGGTTTGGGAGGTCTATTAGGGGTTAAAGGGGGTTTGGAGAAGGTCTGTGGCAGGCTAAATGGGTTTATGGTGGGTTAAATGGGGTCTGTAGGATTCAGTGGGCTCTATGGGGCTCAGTGGGCATTATGGGACAGTCAGTGGGACTCCGTGGTGCAGGTGCTGGGCTGGTGGTGGGCCTTGCTGGCTGTGCCAGAGCCCTGCAGGAGCTGGACCAGCAGCACGGGCTCTACCTGGAGGGCAAAGGGGTGGCGTTGCTGCTCAAGACATGGTCTATGGGGTGCTCCAGTATCTAGGGGGACTATGGGGGTTGCAGGCAGCAGGTTACTGTGCAGGCCGCAGGGGGCGGGGTCAGCGAAGGACAAACTCCCTCTGCTTTATGAGGGGATATGGGGCTCTAAGGGGGGGTTTATAATGGGACTTGGTGGGGGGGAGTGGGGAGGTTGGAGGGCTTCTAAAGGGCTTAAGGTGGGATTTGGGGGTGCTCCCTCTGTTACCCCATTGGCTCTGCAGGCTGGAGGAGCTGGGGCTGCTCCTTGCCTCCTACACCGCCCTCAGTGTGGCTGCCCATCAATGCATCAGGTGAGTGCCATATGCCCCCTTCTCCTTTATCTATGACACCACCAAGACATTACGGCAGGCGCAGCATCTCATTGGCTGTGGATGACTCGGAGATGTGGGGCCAGGAGCTGCGAGCAGAGCTCTCAGCCTATCAGGGGCTCTGGGTGGGGCTGGAAGAGCTGTCCTCAGCCTATGGGAGGCTACAGGAGGCGATGGAGCCCAAAATATCTGTGTGATTTCAAAACCAACCACAAAACCTGACATGATGGACATGCAAAAAGCGCAGCTTCAAGACCTACAAACACGAAAATGCACAGACAATGTCCTAACCAGTGAAAAGGGATGCCAAGAGAACCGAGACATGAAAGCAGCCTGGAGACACTCAGACACTGGCTCGGACACCAACTCCAGATACACTATCACACCCACTCCCAAGCAGACACTCTGGCCCTGACTCATTAATTACAAGCTTATTCCCAGAGCTCTTCTGCCCCTTCACACAGATTATCAAGATAGAGAGCTACACTGTGATTATAAAAACTCCCTACACATGTTCCAGAGTTCAAGAATTCCAGGTGAGGGATAACTAGAGACAAATGGAGAATTCTCAACTAGTTTATTAATACAAAAAACTAAGGATACAGGATGTAAAGGATACAGTAAAGGATACTTCTCAGGGTTACTTATCCTACCAACCCCAAGGACCCCGGGAAGACCATCAGCAAACCAGCTCCGAGAATCATCATGGCAGCACGAGGCGGCAGGCTCAACCTCAGCGGGCGTCCCCGCGCAGGCAACGGTCACCTGCCTGGCGTGAGCTTCCGCCTCCCTCGCACAGCATGAGGCCCGGGCTTTCGGAGTCACAAAAACGCACGCTCATTGCTACGCAGGGGGCCAGCCCGCATCGCAAGAAGCGGCCAACCGTATCTAGGAAGGTCTCCCAGGGTCAGGGCTTCTCCAGGCAGTTCTAAAGCACAACTCTCCAGCTAGGAACCAAAGCTGGACTTCGCCTGAAGCAGCCACAGAGCAACTCTTTGCGAGGAGCCAAAGACAACAAACACTACTTTCCCGCCCTTGCGTGTTTCACCACGGACCATTACCTATTGTCCCTGACACGACACCCCCGACTTAAGCCCCACAAATGGCACCTTTTCATCCTGGCATTTAACTCCCAGGCACTACCTATGCTGAAACTGACCATTCCCCTCCCAGGCACCTCCAAGCGTCTTCTCAGACATTCTGGCTCAAATACTACATCGGAATGCTGCGTCTCAAACCCTTCCTGCCGTTCTGACATTGTCCCCCATCCCCTCGCCTCGCAAAAGAGTCCCTCTACTTAGCGTGCATCGTTCCATGCGTCTCGAGGCAACCTCACTGCTCAGAGCTCCCATGGAAGACATCAGCCATGTTGCAGACCTTGACAAGTTCCTCTTCATCACCTGCCAGAAAGAAAGAAAAAGAATCGTAGCATGCTGCGCAGGCCGTCATCTCTACCAGCTCAGCCATCGATGCCAGCCTCTTCTGTAACTCTACTTTGCCTTCTTAATATTATGTTCATCTTCTACTAATCTATTGCAAAATACGATGCTGGGCTTCTCCTCCCCTCCAGGACCTAGGAGCACAATAGAGAGAATCGACCATGGTGCTTTCAAAAAGTGACGGACCCCCAAAACCACTATTGTTACCTGTCTGCCTCACCTCAAACACTCATCTGACTTCAGAGATAGAAGGTAGAACCTGCAATAACAAACACGAGTACTGAACCCTTTGCCATGTTATTCTCAACTCTGAGCCACCACTCACGCAGACAAGCCTTCTACCTTCTCACAGCCCTCCTCAGCTGGCAATTTCACCTCTCTCGAGTTACTTGTGGCACCTAAAACCAAAATTGAAACAGGCGCACACTGAGAAAACAATAGAAGCTGCAGCCGACCCTGAAATAAGTTACTACTTGGGTGTTTCAAGCATAGCTCCCCTTGACTGAGCCCATTGAATGTTAGTTTTCAGCTAGACAGTGAGAGTGAGTTTGAGCCAGGAAGCCTTTATCCAAGTAGTTTGAACCAGAAATTCTATGATACAGTCAGTAAGAGATTTATGTGGATGTATGAGCCAGTCAGCGTCAGACTGAGCCTAAGTGAGTGTGAGGCAAAATCTGAGCCCGAGAGTGTCTGTGCAGTTTATGAGCGTGAAGCAGTTGGTGTGAGAGGGAGCCTGCGTGGTCTGGGAGTCTTGAATGTGAGTTAAACCACAGAAAGAAGGCCAGAAAATGAAAGCCGGGGAGCAGCCAATGAACCAGAGGTAGGTAAAATAAGACCCAGCTGTGGATTGTCAGGGTGCTTTCATCCCAGCTGGGGGTTCGCCCCACCCCGACCCAGGGCACTGAGGGAAGGGTTGTGGGGGACACCCTCACTCCATAACACAGTCAAGCTGTAGCAGCCCTACCCACGTAAGCTCATGCTGCAAAGTAACCCCCTGCCTTCCCCTCAGCCCCATGCTACACTTCAAAGCCCTTCCTGCCCTCCTGACCTTGTCTCTCACCCTCCAGTCCCAAGTAGCAATCCTTCTACTTAACTTCCATAGTGCCATGGGTCTCAAGCTGCCCTAGATGCTCAGAACACCCACATCAAAGTCTTGGGATCTTGCCACAGCTACCAAGTTCCTCTGTATAACCTGCAACAAACAAAGGAACCAACAGGAACACACTGTGCTGGCCATCATCATCACCACCACCCCACCCACCAATACTGGCCCAGTCTGTAACAGCCCTCTTCCTCCTTCAAAGCTCCTCAACATTATGTTTTCCTGTTCCAATCCCATAGTAGAGTCCAACACTGAGCCTCTCCTTCTCTCCAGGTCCTAAGAGTACAACAGAGACAAATGACCACAGTGCTCGGAAAAAGTGCCCAACCTCACAGTCTTTCTCCTTACCTCCCTGACTCACCTCAAGCACTCATCTGACTCCAGTGGTAGAAGGCAGGCCCTGCAACACCAAACACAAATACCGAACCCCTTTGCCATGCTCTTCTCAACTCCGAACCACCAAACACGCACGCACAACCCCCCTTACCTGCCCTCCTCAGTTTGCAGCTTCACCTCTCTGGAGTTACCTGCAGCGCCTACAAAAGAAATGGAAACAAGCACACACAAAGAGATATAGAAGCTGCACCCTTGCCTCAGCAACTGCCATTTCCCTCTCCTGTCACTTCACTACTCATCCACTCAACTTCGAAGGTTTTCCATCCCTTTGTTCTAAAGTGTACACCCCTTGGAAAACACTAACAAGAAATAAAAAATACAGTTTTATGAAAATGACAAGACCATGAAATACGTTGTTACTTGGGTGTTCTAAGCATGGCTCACCTTGGCTAAATAACCTG